GCATACTATCAACATGACAGAACTGCTGATGTCGACCTGGATCATATGACTGAGTTGGTGTTTGTCAGCTTTTTCCACTGTAAAGTTACTTTCCCCCCTATTTCCATGCTGTACTCTTTGGAAGGAAGTCACTATGTGCAGCCCACACTTAGTGGTCAAGAGTGCATACTATCAACATGACAGAACTGCTGATGTCGACCTGGATCATATGACTGAGTTGGTGTTTGTCGGCTTTCTCCACTGGAAAGTTACTTCCCCCCCTATTTCCATGCTGTACTCTTTGGAAGGAAGTCACTATGTGCAGCCCACACTTAGTGAGTACGGAGTTATGTTTCACCTACACGAGGGCAGAATATGTACATAAGTTATTTGGAATTTTTATACATGGGAGATTTGTCTATTCTCCATTTATTTATTTAGTCAATCAATTTATGTCAATATGGATTCATGGACATTTATTTTATACTTTCAGTTATAATCCATTACCACATTACTTATTTGTTGCTTATATTGGTTTGAATTTGGCCATTGGAAGCTCGTTCAGTTGACACCTGTCCCCTATAACCTACTCCCATCATTGTGTATGTGTGTGCTTTTTTTTTGTTTTGTTTTCTTTAGTATTTTCTTACTTTCTGCCACTACAAGATGCTCTATGCTCACTTTGTATATTTCTCTGCCCTAGTACTAGAATCAGCCATTTCTCCAAGGAGCCCTGGGTTTCATTTTATTGAAGAATGGTATTAGAAACCAATATATAAATATTCTCTTTTGTTTTGTCCATTTAAAAAACAAAACAAACCAACCAGAGAATATCTTGTGTGGGTTGGGGCAGTCGGGGAGCTCCTAATCCCACACTTGGGAGAGGCTTGTTCTGACAGAACAGGCCCACATCACAACCGAGGGAGTCTTTCTAGCCTGTGGGCTCAAATTTGTGCTCCTATATTTCAGGATCTTTTAAAAATCACAGGTGTCTCCCTTTTCTATGCCAAGTTATTTTGATTCTTTATATAGGCAATGAAATTGAAATTTCTGAATGCTAAGTCAAAAGAGTGTTTCTACTGATGATTTATTCTCTTACAGAAAGGATATTTTTTAGGTCATACACTACCCATAGTTGCATGAAATTTCTTCTCTATTCAAAAGTCCCAGCAGTTGTTTTAGAGGTTGGGTGAATATAGGTTTTCCCTGCAACCAGCTAACTTAGTCTAATCCCTGTAATTGCATCACGGGCAGAAATAATGGGCAGAAATAACAGCCAATTATAATTTAATTACTTCATTTGAGATGGGTTCAATGGACAGATCCCCCTTTAGTAAATATTAAAATAGTGAGCAAGCATTAGACGATAGAGTCATTACGATGTTTACATGAACAGTAAACGGTATCTGGACACTCAAGTTTTAGCCATCATCATCATCATCATCATCATCATCATCATCATCTTTTTAGGTAAGGAAAGATCACAAGGATCTTTGTGTGATTTACTTAAAGACCATAGGGGGGAAATGACAATTTGCCAATTCTGTTTTCTTTCCTGACGAGCATCATTGTCTCTGTGCTGGGGTTGAGAAGGCTTTAAGCCTGCAAAGGAGGATTTAGCCAAGGTTCTCCCAGAGCCCTTTGCCCGAAGTTGTCAGGGGCTCTGTCACTGCCAGCCTCTCTGTCACGAGCCATGCAGTAGATAAGTTTTCTGATCACTCATTCCCACCACTAAGCTTTCTTTTAAATTATTTTTATAATACCTAGCAGTACATTGCTACATGATGGGTCTATTACTTTTTCAAATGCTACCTCAGAATAGGATTTAATCTCTACTGTTAATCGTAGTTTCTGATTAATATAGGGGCTCTCTCCAGAGCCCCAAATTCTGCAGCCATACAGCACTGTGCAGCCAACCTGCTCACTGCTGACTGATCTCATTTTGAATTCATTTCCACACATCCCAGTGTCCCTCAGTGCTTCTCAGCAGCCACGGTCCATGCCCCAGTCCTCCCACCCTCTTAGTTCATTAACACACCCTCCGCTTCCATCCTCCTGCTCAGCTTCCTGTATCATGGGAAATTTAGAAGCCATCAGAAGAGACCTTCTGTAGGCCGGCCCTGTGGCTCACTCGGGAGAGTGCGACACTGGTAGCGCTGATGCCGCGGGTTCAGATCCTATATAGGGATGCCGGTTTGCTCACTGGCTGAGCTTGGTGCAGAAAACACCATGCCAAGGGTTGAGATCCCCTTACCGGTCAAAAAAAAAAAAAAAAAAAAAAAGAGACCTTCTGCAAGCTGCAAGCTCCCGCCTACACATACACCCACTCTAGCATCCAGACCTTAATCTTCTACCTTCCTTCCTGTAACAGTAGATGAAAGGTCCATGTTTCTAAGGCCTCTGCCTCCCCTTATGCACTAAATCTCCTCCCCTGTCACTGTTCAAAGACCTTATGCCAGCAGCTCTCCACAACACTACCCTGTATCATCAGGTTTTCTTTCTCTACTGGATTATTTCCATCAGCAGTAAAATTCTGTTATTTCTCCTACTTCAAAAACAAAAAATGAAAATCTTTAAAATTAAAAAAATTTTTTTAATTGTAGTAAAAAACACACAGAATTTACCATTATAAACATTTCTAGGTATACAGTTCAGTAGTATCAAGAATACTCACATTCTTGTGCAACCAGTCTCCAAAACTTCTTCATCTTGCAAAACTGAAACTCTTTACCCATTAAGCAGTAGTTCCCCATCCCTCCCAGCCTCCAGCCCCTGGCAACCTCCATTTGATTTTCTCTCTTTTTGAGTTTGTCTTTTGGCTATTGTAAATAGTGTTGCTATGAACATGAGTGTACAAATATCTCTTTGTGACCCTGCTTTCAATTCTTTTGGGTATAAACTCAGAAATTAAATTGCTAGGTCATATGGTAATTCTTTTAATTTTCTGAGGGACCACCGTACTGTTTCCCATAGCAGCTGCACTATTTTACATTCTCACCAACAGTGCGTAAGGATTCCAGTTTCTCCACATCCTCGCCAACATTTGCTATTTTCTATTTTTTTTGGATAGTAGCTATCTTAACGGGTATGAGATGCTATCTCATTGTGGAGCAAAAGATCTTTTAATCCTGCTTTTCCCTCTTGCTATGGCTAGTTCTCTGCTCCTCTTTATAACAAAACTCCTTGAAAGAGTTGACTTTACTTTCTGATTCCAGGGCCTCATCTCATTATTTCCTAAGCTTATTTCGATTAGGACCCACCCTATTTTAAAATTTCAACCCAAAGTGCAGCTCCTTGATTGCACTGTCCATGCCCCTTCCCTCTTTATATTCACCATCAGCTCTTGTCACCTTCTAACACGCTGTGTCATTTCCTTATTTATTGTTTGTCTGCCTCTCTCCCTGCCCAATACAATTTCAGTTCTATGAGGGCAAAGATAAAAGTTTTTTTTTTTTCAGCCGTCTTTGTTCCCTGTTGTATCCACAGCAGCTAGAAGTGTGTCTGGCATGAAATAGGCTCACGTTTGTTAAATGAATAAATGAATGAATATAGAATGATTGGGTAGGTAGCAGTTGGAATACTGTTTCTCCATGATTATTATTATTATTTTATCCTCAAAATCCAGGAAAAAGTGAGGATAGGGATGAGGACTGTGTATATGAGGGTACTACAAAAAGTTCATGAAAAAAAAGAATTAAAAGATGATCTTTCCATGAACTCATTGCAGTACCCTTGTATGTTAATGACAGAACATACAACCTTGCTAGTGACAGTGTGGTCCATGGACCAGCAGCATCAGAACCACCTGGGAGCTTAGTAAGAATCTCAGGTCCTGCCTCAGAACTCCTGAATCAGAATCTGCATTTTAATGAAACCCCTAGTAGGTTGATTGCAAAAGTTGAAACTCTCTGGTGTTGAGTAACAGTCCTCAACCTTAACTGTGTATTAGAATCTGAGTGTAGGTTGAGTATCTCTTATCCAAAATGCTTGGGACCAGAAAGAAGTGTTTCGGATTTTGGATTTTGGAATATTTGCATTAAACTTACTGGTTGAACATCCCCAATCTGAAAATCCAAAATCTAAAATGCTCCAGTGAGTGTTTTTTGTGTATGTCATGTAAGCACTCAAATTTCCATTTTGGAGCATTTTGGATTTCAGATTTTTGGATTAGAGACACTCAAATGTAACTTTAGAAACTCCTGATGCCTGAGTCCCACTCCCAGAGGCTGACTTAACTGGTCTTGTGAGGTCCAGACATAGGTCAGTGGTGAAGAGAGGAAGTGACTGACATTCATTATTTTTGGGTAGAGAGCTAAGATGGAAAGCTTGTCTCTGTACCAAGCTTTGATATTGACATTACCAACTAGTCATGTTCACCTTATTCCCCAAGAGCAAATTTCAGCTCCTCATTTGCTCTTTCAAGTGAGACCTTCAGGTGGCTGCGGCTCACTACCAGAAAATGCACTCACATCCACATCCAGGCTGGTTTTGACAGTCCGCTGCCAGAAATAGACACCGAGCAGCATGCCAGCCCCTTGAAAGAATGGCTCCTGTTCTCTTTTCCAGTAGAATCCAGTGATCTTTGTGAGCAGAGAGCTCAGCAAAGTGAGCTTCAGGGTCAGTCTCTGGATGGGTGTAGGAAAAGCCCTGTACATGGGATTCTAGGGAGCACAGGGGTGCAGGCTGGGAACTGTCTCTCCCATCCTGCATCCTGCACTCTGAGGGCTCAAGGGGCTTCAACTATTCATACCTCTGCATGCTCCTGCACCCACTGCCTGATATTGTTATTTCCTGGGTGACCCTACTGTAAAGATGGGGTGCAGAGCTGACCTCTGAGTGTGACCCCAAATATGAATCTTGAACATGAACTTGAATCTGAAGCTCAGGCCCCAAAGCTGCACAATAGATAGCTGTAGAAGCATGGTAGAGTAGCAATGGTTAACTGACATCTAGGAAAGATTCTGGGAAGGTGTAGAGAGCATTTCTAGATGTTCATTGACCAAGTGGGCTCTCTCTTACAGCTCAAGTCTCGGGTTCTCATGACTCCTTTAGCTCTCTCACCTCCGCGGAGTACCCCGGAGCCTGACCTCAGCTCCATCCCTCAGGATGCAGCCACCATACCCAGCTTGGCGGTCCCACAGGCTCTCACAGGTAGGTCAGCAGAATGAACTCCCAGGATTGGTGGCCTGAAGGTAATGGGCAGCCTGCCATCTAACAGTCACTTTGTGAACTAAAGAGCTGCCACTGAGGTAGCACAAAAGAAGGATTTAATGTGTCAGCTAGATGGCAGATAGGACCTCTAGATCCTGTGAAAACATGAGTTTATGTGTCTCACAGCTTAGTTTATTTGAAACTCTGTTTTCAGTGCATCTTGGGTTTAGCTGTTTTCTTTGGAGTGAGACAAGAAAGAGTGGCCTGATGTTTCTTTTCAGGGCCAGGTTTTCTTTGCACCAGTGTAAGCCTGCTCACCTGGGAGAGTGCATTCGTTCCTATGTTTGCATGTCCAGATCTACTAACGATCCTTTGATGTTTCTTTTCAGGGCCAGGTTTTCTTTGCACCAGTGTAAGACTGCTCACCTGGGAGAGTGCATTCGTTCCTATGTTTGCATGTCCAGATCTACTAACGATCCTAATCTCACTTACTCCTACTCAGCACCCTCCAGTCCACTCAGGATAGCACATATCCCAATCTCTCTCTCTGATAGAGCATCCACCAACCAACAGTTTCGTCATAGTAGGAATGATAATTTGATGGTGTCACATGCACACACACTCACACACACACCTACCCAGAGTTCCCCCACATCACAGCCCCACCCCCACGCCCACCCCACTTAAATCCTTTCAGTCCCTCGCATGGCTCTTGGGTAAAGACCAAACTTGTTCATATGGAGGTAAGGCCCCGCAGGCTCCATCCCTCTGTGATCTAGCCCACCACTCTTCCCTGTCCCTAGGGTCCCATAGGGTCTTAGCATATTCTCTTCCTTCATCTGGAATGATCTTTCCCTTGGGTCACCCTGTTCCTTCCCTGTATCTCAGCTCTGGAATACTCCCCTCCAGAATGTCCTCACTGACTTTCCTGCCAGGGTCCCCAGTGTGGGCTGTCCTAGTACCTGCCTAGTGCTTCTCACAGCCACGGTCTCTCGTGCTCTCACATCAGCTCGAGTGATTGTCTGAATAGGTCTGCCAATCACTGGACCAGAAGCTCTGTGAAGGCAGGGGCCACATCGTTTTGTTCACTGTTTCTCTGTAGGGAATATCATAGTGTCTGGCATGAAGGTCCCTTTTTGATCAGATTTTCCTTATCATCTGGGATGAGTGGAAGAGAAGGCAGCCTGGCAGAGTGGAAATAGCACAGGCTTGCCATCAGAAAGACTTGAGCCTGAATCTCTGCTGCACCACTGACTACAGACTCTGAGCAGCACCTAACTAAGCCTGTTTCTTCATTAGTAAAGAAGTAATACTGTATTAGTCCATTTCTGTTGCTTATAACAAAATGCCTGGAACTGGGTGATGTATAAGAAAATGAAATTTATTGCTTACAGTTTTGGAGGCTGGGCAGGCCAAAATCCAGGTAACGCATTTGGTGAAGATCTTGGTGGTAGCGACTGTGACCCAGGGGTCTCACATGGCAGAAAATGAGGGAGCAGAGAGAGACTAACCTCTTCATGCACTGTCCTTTTAAAGCCCTCCAAACCACTTCCATGACCACCATTTTTAATCCATTCACTACGGCATGGTCCTGCAGTCTAATCATCTCTTCAAGACCCCACCTTTCAATTACCATAATAGGGCTTCCCACCTCTCAACACTGTCACAGTGGGGGTCAAGTTTTGGAGGGACACTCAATCCAAAGCACATAGTAGTACCCAACTCACAGGTTTGTCTTGAGAATACAGTAGGTGCTCAATAAAAACTAAGTTTCTTCACCTTTGCTATTACTATTTAACTTTTCCAAAATCCTATTGGTCTCCTCTTAAAGTTTCTTCTCAACACTGTTTTGCACCAGTGACCTCCAAGGTAAGATGTTCATATCCTTAGAGGTTGGGGGATGGGGGCTGATGAGGAGAGAGAGGGCAGACACATAAGAGAGGTCATTAATATATGAAAGAACATATGATGCCTGCTATTATTATTTATTTTTTATCTCATCCTTTAAAAATTTCTATTTCTTGGGTATGTTTTAAAATGTACACAATACTTGTTAGATAGTGCTTTATTATGTCATTGATAGAGTAGGAGATTATACCTTATTCCAAATTTTGGATAGTTTTTCTCAAGGGGTAGGCTCAGACACTCTTCACTTGTTAAGAGTCTGGCTTGACGTCTAGGACAATGAGGAATCTTAAAACAAATAGTCTGGAGACAGGTTGACCAGTTAGGCAACTATCGTCAAATTACAGGTGGGATGGATAGTTGGGAGTGGGAGTTTATGTCGCTGTCGTAGAATAGAATTAGGTCAAACTTGTATAAATTAGGTCTGAACCCTACAATGAACTGACCAAGCTAATTATACTGATGATAATTAACTCATTGGGTGATCTCTGTATAAAATTTTCTATTAAAAAAAGGATTTGTGAGATTTTTTTTCTTTTTAATTGCAAAATTCATAAAGATTTCACAGTGATTTACTGAAATCTATTGTATATGGAAACCAGTTTTTTAGACATTCTAGCATTTTTCTGAGGACTTTTATGATATAAACTTGATACTTTGCTGTAAAAAAAAATGTACATAATACACTGATACAGTTAAGAATATAGATAACCTATAAATAAATAAACACATTTTGGGACATGTGCTCAAAATTTTTTATTGATGGGGTATATTACCCTAAAAATGTGGGGACCATTGATTGGGCTCTCCTAAAAAGGTGGTTGAGCATTTATTCTCTCTGAGATTGTAAATATCACTGTCTTTAGAACTTCATTGAACATATAGTCTCTGGAGTGCTCAGTATCACTTTGATTTTTTATTCATGTATGGTTAACAAAGAAATGGCAAATATTATGTGCAACTTGATGGCTCCTTTGGAGGAGGGGGGAATTTCCATATGTACTTGCCCAGCATGGACACACGTTTATACACAGAGTCCAAATGGGCCACCATAATTGTCTTCAGTGCAGATTTAAGTGCGTCAGAGTGGACACACCTGTCCATCTGTCCCTACCAGGAGGTCTTCTTGAGAGCAAGCCCTGGCAGTTGGGGTTTTTGGCTCTTTTGCCTCTTTTGCGTCCTATGTTGGGAAGAATCAGGCCCTTTTTAGCTTTCCAAGTCCAGGGCCAAGAGTGCACAGCGAGGCATCCCAGCACACCGGGGCAGCGCTGGCCTGATGCCGAGGGCTTTGTGGTCTCTGTTTGCACAGTCTGCCTCTACATCAACAAGCAAGCCAACGCAGGGCCCTACCTGGAGAGGAGGAAGGTGCAGCAGCTCCCCGAGCACTTCGGGCCTGAGAGGCCATCAGCAGTCCTGCAGCAGGCCGTCCAAGCATGCATCGACTGTGCCCACCAGCAGAAGCTGGTCTTTTCCCTGGTCAAGCAGGGCTATGGTGGCGAGATGGTGTCAGGTAAGGCCCTAGGGCAGACAGGTATGTGCATATGAGGAGGGCTGTGGGTGTCTTTCTTTTTTTTTTT